GTGTATAGACTTTATTACAAGGAAATATAAAATTTCCTTGGAACGTCTGTTTTTTGTGTTGGCAAAAGGATCAGCGGGAAGAGTTTTTACTGTATATGGTTAACTTTTTTCTTATAAAGATATGAAAATATGTTTATATTTTCAATTTTTTTAGTTAGTATAAAATATGTGATTATATTTCATAGCAAAAATAACAGTCAATAATGCAGTTCTACTGACAATAAAATCCTTCCATAATTACAGATAGTCATATATACTCTATAAAACAATAAATATCATACGTAGTAGTCATTGCAATAGTTTAAATCGTTTTTTATTAATTATAAATTGATAATGGTCAAATGTAGATCATTTTGACACCACGAGTCAATAAATGTAGATGTCAGAATACGCGAATTTTTCGACGAGTCTCGAAACGGAGTACAAAGGTTCAATTTAGGAAATTGCCCTCTCGTTATCGTCTCCTCAACGCGTCGCGTAGATTATTTTTTGATCGTCTTGTCTTATCATCAATACTCAATCATTGGTCATTAAGGAATTATTTTCGTGACGTCATACGCTCTTGCTTATGTCGTATTAATGTTTTTATAAATACTGTAGATTCTCTTAGTGATTTTCCTGCCTTTCACCCTTACCTCTAACCCTTTCTTTTTCGTACATCCTCTTAAGAAAAAACTTGTCATTACCTCTTCTTATTAATACACCACTATTCACTTCTACCTTTTTTCCAAGAAAGCAATTTGGTTACGTTTTGTCTGAGAAGCCGAATATTCTTCAGGTATTCATTCGAATTTAGAAAAAAAAACCGTGCCAGCAACTATTTATCATATTTGACGTGTAGATACAAGCAAATAAAGTATAATAAGAAAATATTAACGAATGCGTTTATCTTTTTATTTCTGGAATCGTTACCTAAACAACACTCTAATAGCCTAATATAATTCACTCTCCTCGATAACTGATATGACAATGGAGTATTCCATCAACGTCAAGTCGTCGCTTTACGAATCTAACAAGGAAAATTATGACCCATTAAACAACCGTTTTCATGGTGTCGGCAGGGAAGATAGAGAGGGACTAGGAACAAAGAAACTGGAATACGCACTTTTACGAGAATATCACAGGGATCCATTGACGGAAATTTTCATTAACGAGATACAAGATGTTTTAGAGTTTGAAACTGAGGTGTGTCAGTATTAGTGAATTTGAGTGCTCAACAGACTTTTATTGAAAGAATGTTTTATTTCGACCGAGATTGGGCGTCCCGTGTTCATTGTTTGAAAGATTAGATCAACACTTTAATTTGGACGAAGAATATTGATGACTGATAAACTTATGATTATATGAATTAATATTTATATGTTAGATTGTCATTGCACGATCCACCACTGTTAGATCTCCCGTTAGATCAAATAACACTAGATCGGGAACTTTTTCCAATAATGAACAATCTCGTACAAGTCCGAGACGTGTGGGCAAAAAGACATTGAAGAAAAAGAAAAAAACGACTACACCGAAATCTAAAAATAAGACAAAGTCTGCTAAAGATAAAACACATAAAGAGAATTTGACTCAACGGAATGAGACTGGAAAGCTAGCGAAAGAAAAAACACACAATAAATTGTTGTTGTTAAGATAAATATTCATATTTCTATCTATTATAAAGACAATTGGTACGTTACGCTATTATTATACTCTTTGTTGACGAAATTGTGTTTCGTCTACTAAAACTTTTTGTTAAACATAATAATATTACGTTATCAGTTTCCGAGGGACTATTTTTTCTCCTGATAACTTTGGACTATGAGAAATCTTTACGGAATAAATTGAATGGCAATTATTTGGAGGGAGATGTAAACAAAAACAAAAAAGCATAATAAAATCTTTAAAAATATTAAAAATACTGTATTTATCAGGAATCAATATTGTGTAAATAACAACCATAATAGGTGAACAATGAACGTGATAGTCCATGTGATATAGTTTCGCAACACATGATTAAATGCTAAATATCTTATCAGATCTGCTGGTTACACTCAATTCTATTATATACTAGCGTAAATCGTTTCAATCTCTTGCATCAAAATGAACTCTGCACTTTGGTCTCTCGCATCGAGACCAGGGTTCTCTCTATTTCGCCACAAACAAGGATTCCAGATATGTTCTTTAACCAAATTCCGACATCCTCTTATCTCCAACTTCGTCAGGAACAAAGTTTCCGCTGTAAATACACCACATACACAAGCTCAAACACCACCTTCATCAAATGACATTTTTCTTCAAGGCAATACGGCAAACTATATTGAGGAAATGTACGATGCGTGGCTTAAAGACCCTGAATCGGTTCACTTGTCGTGGCAAGTGTATTTCAAAAATATAAAATCCGGCATACATCCCAGAAATGCATATCAACCTCCTCCAACGTTGGTCCCTCTAACCGGAATGGCAACCACTGTTGCTCAAAGTGTACAAATGTCCGACTCTTTTGATATCAATGATCACATGAAAGTTCAACTTTTAGTAAGAGCTTATCAAGTTCGTGGGCATCATATCGCGAAATTGGACCCCCTGGGAATTATGAATGCTGATGCTAGCCTACCAAAAGAACTTGATCCTAAACATTACGGATTCACCGAAGGGGATCTTGATAGGCTATTTACTATCGGGCCAGGTATTTTACCTGGTTTCGCTGAGGATGGTGAAAAAGTGACGCTTCGTGAGATTGTCGAGTGTTGCAAAAAGATTTATTGTAAGAATTCGGTTTTTTATTTAACGATTGACTTAGATAAGACGTTAACGAATTCTTCTTTTCAAAGGTGGTACCATCGGCATTGAATATATTCACATTCCTGATAAAGCTCAGTGTGATTGGATCTCGGAGCGAGTGGAAATACCAAGACCTTATAATTATTCGGTGGCTGGTATGTGGATGCTTCTTTTAGTTTGGCATTATGAGAAGTGAATTCAATTTAACATTATTGTATTATATTATCCACGTATTCGTTTGAATCACAACATGATTCAAGAAAAGAGAATGATTTTAGACCGTTTGATTTGGTCAGATTCATTTGAGAGATTCGTGTCTGAGAAGTATCCCAATGAAAAAAGGTTTGGCCTGGAAGGATGCGAGAGCCTAATACCAGGTATGAAGGCTCTGGTAAGTATCTCTGTTGACATAATTGCGTGTGATATATGGATTTCCTTAAGGTCAATCAAACATTGTTCTGTAGATTGATAGATCAGTTGATCGCGGTATTGAATTAATTTTTATTGGTATGCCTCACCGTGGTCGTCTAAATGTACTTAGCAATGTGATTCGTAAACCCAATGAGTCTATATTCTGTGAATTTACCGGAACCGATGCTTCGGAGGAAGGTTCTGGTGATGTAAAGTATCACCTGGGTATGAATTATGATCGGCCGACACCATCTGGAAAACATGTTCACCTTTCGTTAGCGGCCAATCCATCTCATCTGGAAGCGGTGGATCCAGTTGTGCTAGGAAAAACGCGCGCTACTCAACATTATATGAAAGATGAAGAGCGTCAGCATTCCATGGCATTATTGTTGCATGGAGATGCTGCTTTCGCTGCTCAAGGAGTCGTTTATGAAACAATAGGTTTTCAAGATTTGCCCAATTATACGACGGGTGGTACAATTCACATAGTGGTCAATAATCAAATCGGGTTTACTACTGACCCTAGATTTGCTCGTTCAACTCCATATTGCTCTGATATTGCTAAAGTGGTGAATGCACCTATTTTCCATGTTAACGGTGACGATGTGGAAGCGGTGACTTTCGTATGTCAGCTTGCCGCCGAGTGGAGACAGACTTTTAAAAAGGATGTCGTTATTGATGTTGTCTGTTATCGTAAGCATGGTCACAATGAAGTCGATCAGCCTAGTTTTACTCAACCAAGGATGTACAAACAGATTGCAAAACAAACAAGCACGCTTGAAAAATACATTCAAAAACTTTTGAATGAAAAAACCTTCACAATTGATGATATTCAAAAGCACAAGCAATGGGTATGGGATATATTGAAAGATAGTTATGCAGCGAGCAAGGATTATAAGCCTACTAGCCGTGAATGGTTATCTAGTCCTTGGAATGGTTTCAAGTCCCCCAAAGAAATTGCAAATGCAATCACGCGTGCTTATCCTACTGGTTCTTCACATGAAGCGCTTAAACATGTTGGTCAAGTTATAAGTTCATATCCTCCGAGTTTCCGCGTGCATCCAGGTCTTACTAGGATATTAAAGGCTCGGGAAAAAGCTATAGAGGGAGGCACGAATATTGATTGGCCAACTGCTGAAGGTCTTGCATTCGGTTCCTTGTTAATTGAAGGAAAGCATGTCCGTTTGTCTGGTCAGGATGTTGAGCGTGGTACTTTTTCACAACGCCACGCTGTCCTTCACGACCAAGAAAACGAAGAGCAATACGTACCTTTGAATAATATACGGCCTGGTCAAGCCCCATTTACTGTTTGTAACTCATCTCTTTCTGAGTTTGGCACTCTAGGATTTGAACTTGGTTATTCGTTGATTGATCCTAATTCACTTGTTTTATGGGAAGCGCAATTTGGTGATTTTGCAAATAATGCTCAGTGCATTATTGATCAATTTATTGCAGCAGGTGAAAAGAAATGGCTTCAGCGAACTGGAATGGTGATATTATTGCCTCATGGTTATGATGGTCAAGGTCCTGAGCATTCCAGCGGACGCATCGAACGTTTCCTTCAACTTTGTGACGATCATCCATATGTTTTCCCTTCTCCGGAAGGAATGAATCGTCAACATCAAGATTGTAATATGCAAGTAGCCTACTGTACTACGCCTGCAAATTACTTTCACATTTTACGGCGACAGATTCATCGCGATTTTAGGAAACCGGTAGGTTTAATTTAATAAGAAAACCCTCATGTCACGTTTTGTTTGTTCTTTTTATTAACATTTGAATCTCTTTATAGTTAATATTATTCACATCAAAGAATCTTCTTCGACATCCTATGGCTCGCTCTACACTTGAGGAAATGACTGGAGATAAATACTTTGCCCGTTATATACCAGACCCACATCCGGAAACGCTGGCCGCACCTGAAAAAATTACTCGTCATATTTTGTGTTCGGGTCAAGTTTATTATTCCTTACTTAAAGCTCGCGATCAAAATAAGATGGATCATGTTGCTATCTCTAGACTTGAACAATTGTGTCCATTTCCTTATGACTTATTATCTAAACACGTTGACAAATATCCAAATGCCGAACTTGTGTGGGCGCAAGAGGAGCCATTAAATGCGGGTGCGTGGACCTATGTAGCTCCGAGAATTAGAACACTTATGAATAATACTAAACATGAAGGTAACAAATATCTCGTTATAAATTTCTCGTCATCTTTTAATTTACTATTTAAATTGAATTGCAGGAAAAGCAGCTAAGCCTGCTACTCGTTTACCAACGGCATCACCCGAGACGGGTAACAAGAAGCAGCACATTCAACAGGAGCATAGCTTGTTATCACTAGCACTTACGGGGCAAATTATTAAACCTAGTGATGTGGTTGGTGGTGTACCGATCTGGACATGAATTTGGAGGCCTAATAAATCTGTTGACGGATCCATTTTTTAGTGTTGACCGCTAACCGCACGATTATATTTATTTTAAAGTTTTTTAAAAATATATGTATGATTTTAACTGTAAATCAGAATCGTAGATACTTTATTAATCAATAAAGTAGAAATTTTGAATCCCAATTCTATAGCACTAATCAAAGTGATAATCAGACAAATACATATATAATGAGTTACAGTATATTCATTTGGAATTTATTGATATCTATATTTATTTAACAGGCATTAAATGAACTTTTTATTGATGTAAAAATATCTAAAGGTATATTAAACATCAATTTAACAAACACTAACCAATCAAATTTAAGTTGGCACAATAAAATTCTAAAACCTTTGTAGGAAAAGAGAAAAAAAAATAGTTAGTAATTAGTTATTTTATTAATCATATATGTGTGCTCTATAAATAATAATAAATAAAAAGTAATAATAATGTTTTGGTTTTGGTTTATAGTTGAATCCATTAATTATATAATCTTTATTGTTATATATAAGTAATGAGTTAAGGGTCTTGTATATAGTAATGGTCTTGATATCAATATACAGTAGAACCTGTCTATAATCAACCCATATATAAGAATATATAATAAAAAGCCTTTTATAATCATATTTTTATTCTGGCCCAAGTTAATATAAAACATATTAAAATCATATTAAATCAAATCTGTAATAAGAATAACCTGTATATAAGAATATTTTTTGAAAAAATTACTATTGGCCCAACAGCATAACTATAGACAGGTTCTACTGTAATATAATTATTTTATATTAATTTTTTGAAAAAGTAAGAAATTTTCAAATTTAAAAGTTAAAAAATAATTTTATATTATTTTTCATAAATAAGATAAATAATAATATTAAAAAGTTAACTGACTGTTTATATAATAATTTTAATTACAAATTATTAATAAAAATAGTACATGTAGTGCACTTAACTTTTTAAATAAATATATATTATTATTATTAACAAGCTTTTAAGTAAAATAATTTATATAGTTACATAAAAAAACTCTTTTCTGTTTCTCTCAATTTTTTGAAAAACTTTCCTTTTTAGAAAACTTTAACAAGACAAGTATTGGAGATCTTGTCAAGTTATCTTTTTCTCTAAAAAGAAATTTTTTTTCTTTCTTTACTATTATTGAAAATAAAAAAATTTTTTTTAAAGAAAGCTAACTGTTTGTCTTCTTCTTGCTATAGCCTAAGAAGTTTAGGCTGAGTAGTTCCAGATGTTACAGACAGAAAGTCAAATCCTAGATTTATTGAACAAAAGGCTAGTTCCGCTTCTTCAAGATAAAAAATAACTTTTGTTATTACTGATATAATAAGTTTTACATGCTTTAAAGACTTGTTATATATGAGCCAACTTTAAGAGTTTGATTGTAAAGACTTAAGCTGCATAAGGATAGAACTCTTGGTTGGATTTCTTAAGACTGGTCATCTTGTGAATAAAGGTTGTATAGAGAAAGACCTTTGGTTTAATATCTTTTTTGCTCATATATACAGATATAATTTTTTTCCTTTTTTCTTTACAATAAAAACTAAAATCAGTTTATTTTTATTAAAAGATCGACACCACATTCCAACCAATCACAACTCATCAAAATTGTATTATTGATTACTATAATAATGCCAACAATAACAATAATAACAATATTATCACCAACAATCTATTATGTGTTAATATTAGGGCTCCTAATGATACCACTTCGATACTATTTCAATATCAGTTTAATATTTAAATTTACTATAAAAACATATGAGTAGGTTACAACTTATATATTAAATTTATTATAGATTGGTACCATTTTGATATCAGTTCGATATCAGTTTGATACTTTTTCGGAGTCCTAGTTAATATCAAATAGATAACTTTGAAAAAAATGATAATATAAACACTAATGTACTGTATATATAAAAATATGACAACACTGATAGCTTACTGAGTATATAGGAGTTGCATCCTGCTTGACAGTTTTTGCCTTTATATTTGATAGCTTAAGCCAATCAAATCCTTTGGAGTATCTATTAGGAGATTTTAAAATCATGTCTTACTTGACTTTTGAAGCCTCTAGATTTGATAGCTTAAGCCAATCAAATCCTTTAAAGTATTTATTAGGAGATTCTGAAGTCATGTCTTACTTGGCCTTTGAAGCCTCTATATTTGATAGTTTGTATTAATCAAAGATTACAGTTTCAGAATATTTACTAAGAAGTATATATCCATGTCAGCCTTCTTTGTCCTTATAATTGTATAAGCCAAAGTTATAATGTGAAAAGTTGTTTGCTTAATATTAATATAAGTTTAATTTTTTTTTCTTTTATTTTTTCTATTTCTCTTTAAATTGCATGACCTGTTGTGCAACTACTATCTAGACAGTATATTAGTTTTAAATTTTCTTTTCTAATATAGTTTAGATAGATAGTTTGATAAACTAGCATTTAACTTATATATTATGAGAGATGTAAATTCTTGCTTATAGTTATATATCAGTATATATATATAATAAAGAATTAATGTTTATCAAAAAAAAAAAAAATTTTATTTATTTATTTTTTTTTTGGGGGGTTTCCCCTCATAGGTAAGCATTATTTTTTTATTTGATATTGTATATAACATGGTATATATCGTGAAAGAAACAACATCTCTTACGTACATATGTAGCAAGTTAAATGCTAGCCTGCCTACGCGAACACATCTAGCTAATATTGAAAAAGAAATTCAAAACAATACTATATATTAGCTGTGCCTGAATAGCAGCTATGCCTATCTACTCAGAAAATTTTACGAATTCTTTTGATTTTTTAATGTAAAAAATTGAAAATAAAAATAAAAATAACTATAACTAGAATTACATTAAGTAAATTAAAATCTATAAGTATAAAACTACTATTCCTCTTGGAAGCCCCTGGACAGGCTTGTTGTCCCATCACTCCAGCTCGTCGGTTACCATAGATAATAGAGTATACGTGGCATTATTTGTTGTTATAATTGTTGGTAGTGTGTTGGTTGTTGTTGTTATTGTGATCGTTGTTGTGGTACAAAACCAGTTTAGGCTTGATCAAGTTTTGTTTTGATCTTTAAGCGAAATCTGATTGGATGATTGAGAAGCACAGATCATCTTGAGGGTAAACTGATTTTGATTTTTTGGGTAAGAATTTTTTGGAAAATGAAAATGGTGCAGCAAATATTGCTACAAAGATATTGTGTGTGTGTGTTGACTTAAAACAAACAGTAGACCCACTAACTCTGTTTGTAAATGTGTTTTGGAAAGTGTTTGGCTTAGCAAGTATAATGGTGATAATATATATGGTTTTTATAATATAATAAGGGTAAGGTGGGGTGCAAGAGAACTGAAGAAAAGAAAACTGCCACAGGCCTTTTCTCATGCAACTGAAGGATAAGCAAGATTCCCAAACTTGAATAAACTTTGACCAGAGATCCCATCCCACTGCACCAGTTGTCTTGAAGGTTCTTGAGTTCCTGAGCTAGGGCTCACTTGTGATAAAGAGTGGAAAATATTTTTTCTTGCTTAAAATTATCATAAAAGAAAAATTTTTAACAAAACGGACATAATCAGAAGAGAGTAAATTTTAGGTTTTTAATAATATAGCAGAATATGTTAAACAATAGTAAAAGATATGTATTAAATATATTGTTAGTAAAACTCTTTCCCACAACTTTCCAATCCGTAAAAAATTTCCTTTTTTGGTAACGACATGAACGGTAGACAGTAAACA